GTCGTGCACCCTGTGCCCCCATACCAGTACACCGAATGACAATTTAAAGTGTATCTCTAGGCAAAACCTGTGGGAAAGGGTTATATCCCCATTGGGAGAGATTCACCCCTCTATTTCTACGTGTGACCATTGTTATTCAGAAACTGATGAGAAATGCTAAATGTTTAAACTGTCCCCAGTGTTGGTTATGTGTTACGAAGCACTGAGATCTTGAGGAATGTTGAATTAAGTTTTACTTGCTTATAAGGACCTTATATCAGAATACAGCATTATAGAGCATTGTGCAGGAAACATATATACAGATAGAACTTCCTGTGTATCATAGACAAGTATACATAAGCAGAGACTAGCATTCTAACACCAACAATGGGAAGGGAAATCTTCCAATAAAGAAATCTGTTCTGGTTACGGAGACAATATTCTAAAAAACGAATTTCCTGCATTTTAGGACATTTTCTCCAACTTCCTGTTGCATCTCTGGGACAGGAAGTGAAATTTCCCCAATGGTACACAGACAGCAAAAAAATAAACTGGCAGAGGTTGTAACTAGGGATGCACTGATACCAGTATTTTGGTATCGAGTACGAGTACCGATAATTTTTTTTCGGTACTCGCCGATGACATTTACCGAGTACCGGAAGTCCCATTCAGGAAGCCAGGTGGCGTGTAATGACTCAACACCTGGCTTCCTGATTAGCCGGAAAGCATGTAAAGACTCACCTCCCAGCTTCCCGATTAACAAGAAAGTCTGTCCCCTCTCACCTCAGCATGTCCAGCCTGTCACCCCCGGGGCCTCTCCAGCCAGGAGCGGCCTTCCTCCGGTACCCAGCCGGAGCCGTCTTGCTGGCCAATCATGGAAGCCGGGAGCTGTGCAATGACGCCTCGCCCTGCTTTCTGATTGGCCGGCTCCATGCTCCCTCGTCATGAGATGACGAGGGAGCATGAAGCCGGCTTCCCGACCAATCAGAATGGCGGGCGCTGGGTCATTACACGGCGCCCGGCTTCCTAATTGACCAGCTTCCCGACCAATCAGGAAGCTGGGCAGCGCGTCATTACACGCTGCCCGCTTCCTGATTGGCCGGGAAATCGGCTCCATGCTCTCTCATCACAAGTGACGAGAGAGCATGGAGCCGATTCCCAGCCAATCCGGAAACCGGGCAGCGTGTAATGACAGGAAGTATCGGGCTAGGCATCGGAGCATTTGGGCGAGTACGAGTACTCGCCAAAATACTTGGTTTCGGCACCAATATCGATACTAGTATAGGTGCATCTCTAGTTTTAACCTTACCAGCTCTATCCATGAACATAAAAAGTTTGGCTATACAGCTGGACATTCAGATTTCAATGTTATTCTACTGTGTCCGTTCCCACCTGTGGGATGTGCTGTCGGTCAATGCTCAGAAAAAGTACATGAGCTTTTTGATGAATGATCGCCTCATTTTGGCTCCAATAATCTTCAATGGGAGTGTCTTTGACAGGTTGTTTGTTGTATAAAGATAGCCCTTTGTGTGATCACAGACTCACACATCACAAGTATCAGAATAACAATTCCTGTTTTAATGGGTGAACTCATAGCTTTAAATGTTTCTACTAATTAATGCGTTGCTGTGCATGCATTAGGCCTTATCTTTAAGAAGACCTTCAAGGACAACTAATTTGTTTTCTTCTGAAACTGGAATGTGAAACTGCTTAACTCAACTCATTCAAAAGGTTACACAAGGTTGTTCTTGTTAAAGGAAGAGACAAAATGGCTTCATATAGAAAAGCAAGATGGATACAAAAGAATTAATGTATCCATGTTCTTACACAGGCGCACCTAAAAACGTGTTTTTCACGCCTAACAACCGTCACCTCTAACTAGTAACTAGGTTTCCATTGGCTAAAGCAAAAATGTTCAAGCTTGAAAACACATAAAAACGTGTACAACCCAGATAGCAAGCAATTGAGCTGCAAGTTTGAAAATGACTTGCTAAACTATTGCAGACTTGGCAAGTTTCACAATTTTGTTGCACAATTACAGCGAGTCTCCAGATCAACGTGCTTTGCAAAAGTGCTGTACACTTGCAGAGCTCTTGCCAAGACCTGCAGGACTCTTGTAGACTTGCCAAGCAAATTTGCTACAAATTCATAAAGTGTCAACTAGAACTTGTGCTGCAAGTGTTCCGCAAACCTACAACTCGCCGGGAATGTGTGCAGCAAGTTAACAAGAATTACAATTTAACCCTGGCATAAGTTTGTGGCAAGTTATCCTTGCTATCTGGGAAATGCACAAAGAATGACCAAAGAAGCAGACACAGAAGTGTGAATTGTGTCAATGAGCTCACTTGAGTTTGCCCTAGCCCACTCAGAACTGTGACTGCCACCCTCTTCTCTCAGCCCATTTGGTTGTGGAGAGGCGCATTCCCTACCTTGCAGCTATACATCACAAATGGGTGACAAAGTATTCCCCGTCGCAACTGCTGCCGTTGATTGGGACAGGGGGGGGCGGGTGACAGTCACCGTTTTCATCGGGCTTGTGCAAATTTCGGTGAATTGGGTTCACACTAAGCCCAGGTTCATGCCTATTCAAGACGCTTCTGAGATCAACGCTTGACCTTGAAGCTGGACATACACTGCTTAGACTTTCAAAAGAATTTTCGTTGGACTTTCTATTAGTTGACTCTAATCGACGATCGATTTTGACCGTAGTGACAAAAAAACTCGCAGGAGCAGGAAGGAAGATTTTTCTCGAGCAAACAAAATTCTATCGCTGAATGTGCTTTTTGTTCAGGGAACTTCATTCCTTCCAAAATTGATTAAAATCAAATAAGTTTTTATTTGGCATTCATCAAGTGTCTGATGGCATTATTGGGTGGTAAACAAAGATCTTTCGTATGAAAGTTTGTTTGGAAATCTACTAGGGCATGGCCAGCTTACAGTGACATTAAAGGCAAAACTTTTTTTCCGCCCCCCAATGCTAATGTAAGGACTTACCCTAAATGATGCCTCCTTAACCGATTATCCTCTTCTTCTTTCCTGTAGTTTTCAGGAGTTCCACCAGCGCTGACTCTTCTGTCTTTCTGTCCCACGGAGTCTGTGCGGGTGCACGATGCTGCATTCACTTACCTTGCGCCCCTCCTCGTCTCCTGGCCAAAGATCTGAACTGCGCCCGCCCCAAGATCCTTTATGGCCGCCCGAGGATCTTCAGATGTTCGGACGGGAGCATGCGGTGGAGACGCAGGTAAGTTTTAACTAGGGATATATCGGCCGCCGAAACTTTTGGCATAATGGCGAAAGTGCTATTTTCTGGCCGATACATTAGCGCATCCCTGCTTTCTCTCCTCCCCGCTGGGCGCTGCTCTGTGTCTCAGCTGGGAGGAGAGAAACTATCACAGGCTCCGAGCGCCGTGAGCGGCCGGCGTCTCTCCCCCCACACCGCTCAGCCTCCTGTCACAGATCTGGAGAGCGGTGTGTGCGGAGACAGCCAGTGCGGTCACAGGAGGCTGAGCTCTCCTCCCCGCTCAGCCTCCTGTGACACCGTGTCAGGAAGGAGAGCGGTACAAGCAATCAGTGTTTGTATATAATTGAGGACATGTTATGTTTACTATATCCTCAATTATGAATGAATGGGAAGTGATCTACATCACCTCCTGTTCATGATTGTGGTTATAGTAAACACACTGGGGGGAATTTATCGAAACTGGAGCAGACAAAATCTGGAGTACATTTGCACTACAACCATTCAGCTTCTCTTCATCATTTTCAGATCTTACCTGGGCAAACCGAAGAGAGCTCCTGATTGGTTGCCATGGTTAACTACTCCAGATTCTGTTTGCTCCATTTTTTATAAATTCCCCCCACTATGTTCTCATGTTATGAATGAACAGGAACACTCAGTATAGAGGATTCCTGTTCATTTATATCAGGGGCTGAATTTTTTTTTAAATTTCGGTGCACCTTTAGTTTTAACCGCTTTGTAAGCTTTAAAAAATATATTTTTGCTTATATCTACTGCTTGCTAGCAGTAGATATATACAAAAAACGGGAGGGTTGAAATACCCTTCAAAGGAGAACTATGGGGTTAGGGCTTTTCCCCATAGTTCTCTTAAGGGTAACGGGAGGACACAAACTAGCGTCCTACCGTCACCCTAAGCTCAATATACCACGAGCTGTACTGAGACGCCACAGTACACCGCAAGCTACTGCTCGCGGTATACTGAGACGCCGCAGCTGAAGAGGATCCCGACAATTATGTACCCGCCCCCCGTCCAATCCGCCAGTCAGCGCTGGCGGATCGGGGGCAATCCAGCCCCTCCCCTGTCACGGCAGAGAGCTGGGACAGGATCGAGAGGTGAGCGAACACCGGTATGTGTTCGCTGACCTCCCGATCTACTGAGCCGACCTGTGACAGTCTCATTGTCACAGATCGGCTAGAACTATGAGGTAAGTGAAAAGCACTCACCTCATAGTTCTCCTTTAAGCTGATTTGGGTTTTGCATCCCAACAGACATGTACAGGAGTGTAAAACCAGCATGAAGAAATCAAAAGCTTGTCAGCACAGAACCGTAGGCCCCATTTACACGTGACAAATCTAAAATGGCTGCTGCCTATAGCTGTAGACATGTTGCCTTTTGCAGGCAGGGCACCTTGCCTAACGTGCCCACTGGAGTCAGTAGGACCATGACACAACCATGTGCCAACCGCTTGGCACGTAATTGCAGCATGGTATTACAATGCAAAATACCCCTTGGTATAAAAAACACAGCCATTCAGGAACCGGGAGTATCATCGCCTGTAAATCAATATAACATAAATGACTGCCAATCAGGCTGCTATATGTAAAGCAGTTTATTGTAAGATACAGCTGCTGTTTGAACGGGCTGCCCTGGTGTGCGGATCCTATGTATAGCCGGGGCCCCGGGCTCCGGTACAATGGCGGCAGCTCCTGGGTTGTTGGCACATAGCTCCATCTGTAGGGGGCGCTAGCGGACCGTGTGTCGGCCTGTCTAGAGGTGACAAGCACCTGCGAACCAGGCTCATTTCCTGACACAACACGCCGCCGTCCCGAGTTACTTATAAGGAAGAACAATCTGTGCGAGCTAATAATAAGGCCGTGTGAGCTCCATATCCCCCGGCTATATTTAGCGCCATGATTTGTAGAGTGATTACAGAGCGCTGGCTTATCGGCCGCCGCTGTCTGTCTGCTTCTACTTGCACCGAGCTCCCAGCAGCTGTGGTCAGCACCCCATTGCCCGTGGGACGAAGAGCAAGCTTGATTTACCCCGCAGCCCGCCCGTGTGGTTTTCCTGTGAGAAGAGCGCCCCCTGTGTTCTGTCCTGTGCCACTGCTGCACCCACCTATTCTACCGACTCGTCGGCTTTGTAATCTCGCCTCCAGGAAAGGAGAGTCGCTCTCCCCTCACAGAGACATCCAGCCCGCGTTCCCCTATTGGTCCATTTCCAGGCCACTGACTCTATCAGCTTACATCATGGCTGCCAGTGGGAAGATTGACCTGAATTCCCCCTCCACCACCTGGAAGGAGGCCAAAAGTGAGAAGCAAGCACTGCTCTGAGCCCCTCAGTCTAATGTTGTCTGTTGTGATCTGTCCTAACACTTTGGGGTTCATGTAAGGAAACTTTCCTGTGAGAGAAATGGAGGGGTCGCCATTGGCAACCAACTCTGCATTTTTCTCATGAAAGGTTTCCTTCAAGGACCTGCTTTGTATTTGTTCGTCTTACTGCATGAAAATGCATTTCAAAGTAGAAATTCCTCCGGCAGTCCAGTGGAAAGTATCATATTTTGTTTTACTGCACATTAAGCAACCACTATGGTGAAGAATTGATAATACTGAGGTGCAGGTAATACATATGTTGGAAGGATTTGGTGTATTAATGGATGGACATGTAAAGGCAGATCTAATAAAAGGCGTGTGAAACCAGGAAGGATAAGAAATGCAGAATAAGCCGAGTGGTCCACACAGTCCATCCTCGTTATTTACCTTTTGGACAAACATTGGTATAAAAAGTAAACAAACACTAGCTGCGTACTGGATGGACCACTCTGTCATCTTCTGCCGTCACTCCTCTATGTTTATAATTTGTGATGGGTTTGTAGAAACTGACTGCCTGAACCCAGAATTGTGACTGACACCCCCTTCCTGGTCCAATCAGCTGTGGCCAGGGCTTTCCCTGCCCCTTTGTTTACGTGGGGAATGTCCCGTCCGCATCAGATTGGGCTGGGAATGGGGTGTGTCACTGACCGTTTTGGTTCACACCCAGCCTCCCGCACATCACTATTTGTAATCTTTTTTGTTTCACATGCCTTTCATTATATTTTTCTCCATGTTGAGGGCTTTGTTCACACCAGTTACAGTGCGTTCCAGAGCGGTTAACGTCTGGAACGCACTTTATTGATTCCTGCATTCTGGGGTGGGAGGGGGTGTGGCGGTGCATTGAAGTCAATGACACCGCAGCAATGCCCCCCACCCGCAGCGCGATCGCCTGCACCAGAACGCGTGGCACATCAATACCTGCGTTTCCGTTCCAGCGCGATTGGATGAAATGGTGCATGCACTAGACCTGAACGGAGGCATTGATGTGCCACGCGTTCTGGTGCGGGCGATTGCACTGCGGGTGGGGGGCGTGGCTGCGGTGCCATTGACTTGAATGCACCGATACGCCAGAGAATGCAGGGAGCTTGCCAGGATGTAATACAGTGCGTTCCAGCAGCTAACCGCCCTGGATCGCACTGTAACGTGTGAACAAGCAGTGATAAGAGCCCCTTTCACACTCTGATCATGAGAGATCTGTGCACAGAGTGGTATGGATCAGATGTCACTGCTGTGACATTCCATGTTCGTCCAGATTTTTCCCCAGAGTCAGTCTATGGGGAGTTGGATTTAAATGGCCATGTGTTAGTTTACATCATTTTACCCCCACAACAGGATGTAAATAGACATCCGTCCATTTAGATACGGCTGCCCATAGACTTACATTGGGCGTCCGATTTGGTCCACCTGAAAAACTGACAGGCAGACCTGATTGGACCGCCTGTCTGAAAGGGACATTAGGGGCAAATGATGCCAGATGCAACAGTAAAAAAATATGGAAACCTGTCAACAAATAGGTAGGGCTGCACGCACCAGTGGCAGTGTTCTAGTGTGACTCAATCGGTGTAATTGTCACTTTTGCTGGAAGCTTAGGGGGGTGACTCGCAGGGAGGTTATTCACATAACGTACATCTATGTAAAAGAGATTTGCAGCACATTATGGCCACTAGACATGAGGCCGGATACCCAGGCCCGCTGACTGCCAGCCCCTCCCCCCGACCCAATCTGTGGCAGAAGTTGCGGCACGGGGTATTCCCCACCCCTTTGTAACGTATAGCTGCAGGCTGGGGAATGCGCCTCCCCTCAACTGATTGGGTGAGGAGGAGGAAATGGTGGTCAGAGTTTTGAACGGACTTGGGCAAACTGGGTTCACACAAAGCCCAGCCACATAGGAAGCAAGGAGATTCCTATGCTCCCTGGCCTATCCAGTGGCCATAATGCCCTGCAAATGTGATTTATAAATTGTTTGCATAGCAAATCACTCGCATAGTCTGCATGTAAATAATGAAATAATGTTGATCTAAATAAGAAAGGCATAGACTGAATACCATGATTACATGAAGTCATTGCATACAGTTATTAGAATACAATATTTTCCCCAATATTGGCCCTTCAAGTTAGTCCATAGAAATGGAAGTGTAAATGTAAAAGTGTAAATATAAAAACAAAAGAAAAACGCATGAAGCATTGTGTGTCTAAAGCATAGGTGCACTTATCCTTCTGGTACTTATAAGCTGACCTAACCAATCCCACCCTCTGTGCACAGACACATACTTACCACGTTCTGACAGGCCTGGCCTCCATTGTTTACACCTTGCAATGAAATGCTCCCTTTCCTGGCTGCGCCTGTGCAGTACATTCCCATTCACTTCTATGGAGCAACAGATGGAAATCCAGGCCTCCTTTATTTTTTTATGTAGCTATGTGCAGTGCAGTGTATATCAACCCCTACTTTATTTGTGTTTTGGGGTGCCACTTTAAATGAATGGCAGCATTGCACAGAGTGCCAGTCATTACCATGCGTTGCAGTAACGCACATTACCGTGGTGCTTAGGTGTGAGCTAAGATATAAAATTTGGTAAAGAGACTCCAAAAGCTTACATTACAAATAACTAATATACACCAAGTGGACATAAACTTATCGAATATACTGTATGTGTGCTGTTTATTTGATTTGAGCTTTTTTGGGTGTATGTTACATCAACAGAAACACTTTAGAAAGGTTGCAGGTATTAGAAACATGCTTAGAGAAATGAGCTTTTGTAGAGAAACAGTTGAACCTTTTACTGTCTCATAAAAGTGCTTTAATCCCCCAGAGGATGTAACATTTTTCCTTTAGAAGCCGCGCTGTATGACATTGTCATTGGCACACACTAAAAATAGGTTATAATAGGGAGTCCGCCTGTTTTAATTCTATCTTCATATGCAGTTTTCAGGCTAATTAGTGTGACAAAAACACATTTTCATCACAAAACATTTTTAAAGGGAATTTTCCAATGAACCTTTTGTATCAATAATCTGTAGACCTTATCTTAGAATCCAATGACCTAACCATACAACTGCCACTATGAGTTAACCAAACCTGTGAGTTCCTCTGGGTCTGCTCTCTGTGACTTCATGATACCAAGGGTGGGTTTCCCTTCTGCATTCTTCAAGTATCTTGCGTTGGCATTGGAACACACCTTTGGCAGATCACAGATTTGCTGGAAGAAATGGCTGTATTAGTGGTGACAACTACAATCTATGTGTGCACCCCTGGAGTTATTAAAAGAAGATAAGAACTCATGGATTACTGTGCAAGTGACTGATAAGTGCTTATTTTTTTGAAGCTATGTTTACCCAAAGTTTACCTAAAGTATATCTAAAACCAAAACTTTTTTTTCATTTGAGAGAGGGTGGGGCATGGTTAAAACTAGGGATGCATCGATACCGATACTAGTAGCGATGCCGATACTGAGTATTTGGGTGAGTACTTGTACTCGCCCAAATGCTCTGATACTTATCCCAATACCAGAACTTCCAGTCAGAGGGAGATTTCCTCTGACCGGCTGTGCCGCGAAGGAACATGGAGCCGGTTTCCCGGCCAAACAGCACGGAGCCACCTTCCTGGCCAATCAGGACGCTGGGCCGGTTGTAATGACCCGCCTTCCTGATTGGTCGGGAAGCCGACTCCATGGTGATTGGCTGGGAAACCACCTTCCCAGCCAATCAGCATGGAGCTGGCCAAACAGCATGGAGTCGGCTTCCCGGGCAATCAAAAAGCAGGGTAGCGGGTAATGACACGCTACAGGAAGGCGGCTCCATAGTACCGGTATTGGTACTCTGTATCGGTGAGTGCTGAAATATAAATATCGGTACTCGTACACGATACCGAAAAACCAGTATTGGTGCATCCCTAGTTAAAACCCCTGTCAAGTTTTTTCTTTCTCATCTGTGTCTCATTTGAGAGATTTTCCTTCACTTCCTGCTAGCAACACAACATCATATATATATATAATTTTTTTTATTTTGTCAATAGTTCCACTTTTCAACAGGTTTCCCTTTAAAGCCTTGAGCGTATAGTGCTCCCAGCAATGAAACCCTGGCAGTGTGATGGTGTGGTGTTTATAAATAAAGCCATATCACACCCTGTTGTTATGTTTTAGAATGAAGCTGTTGATCACAAAGAGATAATGTAATTTTTCCTATTTATATCATATGCTCCTCACCTCCATCTAGTGGCCATAATGCAGTATTACATCACAATAAAGATGTCATAAAAAGAAAACATATTAAGAATATTTGTATTTGCCATTATTCACAGATATTTGGAAGGTGAAGGACCCTGCAAATTGTTTATAAATAGACCCCTAGTTGCAATAATATGTACAGTTTTTACAAACACGTGTTAAAGTTTGAAAACCGGGTTCACGCGTTACATTTGTTTTCACCTTCTTCAGTAGAAGGTTAAGGTCGTTTATTTTTTTTCATCTGCCTTGAAGTGCTCAACTTAATAACACAAAAGGGTCTAATGCAGCACAGGTCTAAATTTTTTGACCTCAAGCTTGATTTGAAGTGTGAAGTGAACTTAAATCATTTAGCACGGTGATAAGTACTCTTAAACAACAGGAAGTTCTCTGTACTGTATTGGGAGTTTTACTCGAACAGAGGTTCAATGAAAAGCATCATAAGAGAAATATAGGGGTCTTTGCCATTGCTGACCTCAGGAAAATTCACAATGCCTTGCTGTCTCTGGGTATAGTTTTTCAGTTTTTATTTTCATCTATATATATTTTTTCTCTGTGTGTACATAGATATCCTAAAAGGTCTCAACAAGAAGCAGAGACGGGAGCAGTATGGAGCAAAAGATTTTATCAAACTTAAGGATATCCCAACATGGAAAGATACAGCAAAAAGTGAGATGCGTACTATTTTTTACTGACCAGATTGATTTACATTTTGTTTCACTTATTTTACATGATTTGTAAATATAGTTGGAACATTTGTGGGCGCGTGCTAGAGAAGAATGAAGGAGGGCAAAATTTTACACCCCAGTAGTATAAGTATATCTAAAGTAATCAAACCACACCACACATACCCTTTCAACCGAAAAACAAACAAACCCCACAAACAAAAAGTACTAGACATGGAACTGATTACACAAAAGGACCAAAAAATAAAGTTTACAACAATACAAAAAATGCTATGTGTGTTTTTCTAATGAGAAAGAGAGAAGAGTAAGAAAAACTATTTTATTTTTACAAATCATATCTAAAGTAATCAAACCACATCCAGGTATGCAAAGGCCTGGAGGTGGAGGGCTTTTTAGAAACAATTTTGTTCTCACAGTGACTTTCATAAAAAAATAATAATTTATTATTCACATAGAATTAAAAACAGAGTGTGTTGTCAGAGTTGAAAGACTTGTTACAGTAATATCCATGATACAGATGACACAATATGCTACAATGGTCTAGTTATTCATGATTAGTTGAGCAGATGGAGTTTTTCCTTGGATACCCCAACATGTTTCGCCTAAATGAGGCTTCCTCAGGAGGATAGTAATCCTAAAGGAAAACTCCAGCTTGATATAGATCAGCCAGCGAGAAGCCACCCACATGGAGAAAAACTAGGCCACTCCAATGTATGGACGATATTAAGCTGTATCTTTGGCATTACAAAACACAAGCTGTTTCCTCCTTCTGTCCTACTCCTGTTGCGATTTGCTTCCTGACACGACCTTCCCATTTTGGTGTCGGAGATCGAAGGAATTGGTCTAGTTTTTCTCCATGTGGGTGGCTTCTCGCTGGCTGATCTATATCAAGCTGGAGTTTTCCTTTAGGATTGATATCCTCCTGAGGAAGCCTCATTTAGGCGAAACATGTTGGGGTATCCAAGGAAAAACTCCATCTGCTCAACTAATCATGAATAACTAGACCATTGTAGCATATTGTGTCATCTGTATCATGGATATTACTGTAACAAGTCTTTCAACTCTGACAACACACTCTGTTTTTAATTCTATGTGAATAATAAATTATTATTTTTTTATGAAAGTCACTGTGAGAACAAAATTGTTTCTAAAAAGCCCTCCACCTCCAAGATGTAAATGGACACGCCGGCTTACATCTGACTACCCAAAGACCTAACACATGGGTCCGGTAAGTTCACTATTTTCCTTCCTCTCTCACAAGACGGAGGAAAAGACTGGATGGACACTGCAGGAGTTTGTGTCTCCTTCCATCACCGCTGGGAGCAGCAGAGATCAGCGGGGACACAGAGCCCATTAAACAACTAATGGAACAATCACCTAATCGATAATGGGAATAGTTGACAACAATTATCATCGATTAAGTCAATTAGTTTTTGCAACCATAAATTTCTTGATAAACTTTAAAGTGCACCTGAATGTGATAAGAGTGCAGGTTTATTTAAAGCAGGACTGCAGCCAGAAATAAGAAGATGAACATGAATAGTCCAATAAAACATAACAAATCTAGATTTTGCTGCAATTTCCCCCTAATCTAGAGATTTCCCTTGTAGCACTTTTCCCCTCAATCTCATATCCAGCATCATTCATCCACTCCATCCAATCCCAGATAGTACTGGACCCACTCCAGCCTGTTACTGTAGAGTGAAAGGAGAAGCAGCACAATGATCAGTGCATCTCTCTGTCACTCTGCCTTCTCCTCCTATCAGTGTGCTTCTTGTCAGCACATGAACTGATTAACTCTTTGTGCTTCTACTTCCCCCCACACTCCAGAATTGGTGTCCAGGGACTGCAATAGACTGGTACCAGGTCAAATGCAGGTAGTTACACTAATTGCATTTAAAAATGCATTTAATGATGTAATAATGATTACTGAGCTGCATTCATTTGTGTATTTTTTTAATCTACCTAGTGTTCAGCACTAACAATAAAAATACTCTGTACGTGTTTTCTCCAAATTACAGAGATAAAAGCCAAACAACCCGAAGAAGTCAAGTTCCCAAAGAACAAAGACCTGATTGAGAAAATCTCTTTCTTCAGAGGTGACATCACTAAACTGGAGGTAGATGCCATCGTCAACGCAGGTAAAAGCGACAGTATGTTCGCCCCATACCTCTAAGTCCTGCTCAGGACAAACTGGATTGAGTGTTCACGTCATGTATTTTTGCTGCATCCATTGTTGTCATCTGAAATCTGATAATCTTTATGTAGCATCTTTTTTACATTTTTAGTATTTGTTAAGTTTCAACTTTTATGGACCTTTTGTAAAACAACTGAAATGTTATAGAGGAATCATCTTCACCATCCTGTGAAAAGTGGAGGAGGTTTTGAATGAAATCGATTTATATTCATTGGCTGTCCAGCTATTGTGCAATGCGGGCATGCTGTGTTTTGTAGTTCTACAGCATAGTGGAGGCACGGGTTGCCTGAGCTTATTGTAGTTTCATGTTTGATCTTTTGTCAGCCTGAGCATTTCTGAATGCTTGAGAAGACAGTTGTATTTGTGAGATGACATTTAGTGAAGGGTCTGTTGATAGCTCGGCATTGATGAGATTTATCTGGACAGACAGGACAAGACTCTAAAAATCTCATGAGAAGGGATCAGTAAATACTTTGGCACATGATTTCATGAAGATGTTGCACAGAGAGTTCTTACTTCTTCTGCAGGAGAAATTCACTGACAGTTCTCTATTGCACTGACGTCTTTGTAAACCCTACCCACTATAAATACACATTTTATATTGTTCTATACATAGAATTCAGCTTCTTTTTTAAGCAATGAGCTGTTGGTTCACTGTATTTAGAGCAGATCTGTGTGACATTTTCAGATTATTATGTTCTGCGATTCTTAATAAAGTTTTGTCAGCGACAGCGATGGTTGGAAAAAATGGTTTGACTGTGTGTGTGCAAATTTATCATCCTGTTCTTTTATTTGCAGTGGCTGTTAACTGGCCATATATGTAACATGGAATAGCAGCTATAAGATTGTGGCAAAGGAATATTGTGTTGGCCCACCCTATAACAGCTATAACAGCTTTAGCTCTTCTGGGAAGGTGACCACAAGGTTTAGGAGTGTGTCTATGGGAATTTTTTACCATTCTTCCAGAAGAGCAATTGTGAGGTCAGGTACTGATGTTGTACAAGAAGGCCGGGCTCGCAGTCTCCGCTCTAATTCATCCCAAAGGTGTTCTATGGGGTTGAGGTCAGGACACTGTGCAGGCCAGTCAAGTTCTTCCACCCCAAACTCGCTCATCCATGTCTTTATGGACCTTGCTTTTTGCACTGGTGCGCAGTCATGTTGTAACAGGAAGTCGCCATGCCCAAACTGTTCCCACAAAGTTGGGAGCATGAAATTGTCCAAAATGTACAATGCAGGCAGGCAAGTACCGTTTCCCTTGGCATACTCCAAACGCAGACACGTCCATCGGATTGCCAGACAGAGAAGCGTTATTTGTCACTCCAGAGAACACTTCTCTAGAGTCCAGTGGCGGTGTGCTTTACACCACTGCATCTGACGCTTTGCATTGCACTTGGTGATGTAAGGCTTGGATGCAGCTGCTCGGCCAACCCTCAGAATGTCACTGGTGCTTTCTTGCTAACCCACTCTTAAAGGGTCATGCAACCCAAAATATTTATATATATTACATTTTCAGTATTTACGTTTTATATAAACTTCACATTTACATTTTCAGCAGATGCTGGGAAGTTACATTAGCTAACAGTTTATTTTCTTGGTGTTATTAATATCACTGTGAATGAGCTCCCAGTCCTATATTCCTGCTAGTGCAGTTATGGACGGTTCCTGCTCTCCTTGTTGGAGAATTGTGTTATTTGTGCAGGAAACCTCCTAACTGTTGTAAATGTTATGTGTGTGTGGTTTGTACAAATTCTTAATGGGTTAATGTTTTATGGAGGTCCTGAGTGTCTTAAGAAGCTTGTGTGCCTTGTGTGAAGAGGCGAGGTTATGGCAATCAAATGCCAGACCACCACAGATTGGCCTACTCTCCTTTCCTAATCTTTACTATGCTCTTCTAATTCTTTACTTTTACTTTGTAACTTTTCTAAATAAACTACCAAAAAAGTTTATTGTGAACAGAGGTTCCTGTTCCTTACCATTATGAATGAAGTAATATAATTCCTTAATTACAAGGACCGTTATGGACCAGTAGCATGAACTTGTCATTTATAAAATGTTGCAATGAACTCTTGAGTAAACTTCCAGTAATCAAAGTTTTTACTGATTATTGATAAAATTATATTGACTGCATAACAATATGAGGGCATCTGATAATTTTGACTCCACTTAAATAGATGATGAATGGGAAAATATATTTGAATGAAATAAAAAATATATATCTACACCATCTTTTTTTAAAGCATAATTATTTTTCTACAAAGTCACCATACACTTCAATACACTTCCACCAACGCTGCACTAGTTTTTGAAATTCGTCCCTCAAAAAAATCAGTGTTTTTGTTTTTGAAACCATTTCCTCACTGCAGACTTCACCTCTTCATCACAGATGAAGCGCCTGCCCTTCAAGTGTTCCTTTAGTTTTGGGAACAGGTGGAAATCACTAGGAGCCAGGTCTGGGCTATACGGTGGATGTGGCAGCACTGAAAAGTCCAGGCGTTAAATGGCATCTCTTGTTGCTGCACTTGTGTGAGGTCTGGCGTTGTCATGTTGAAGTGTTTCATTTCTGTTGTTCTCATTCTGTTATTGTACACTTTCTTGAAAAAGGAACAACAATAAACTCTCAACGTTATATTGAAACTCTTACTGCATTAAAAAAATGAAACACTTCTTCATTACCGCAATGCCAGGCCTCACACAAGTGCAGCAACAAGAGATGCAATTCAACAGCTGTACTTTTCAGTGCAGGCACATCCACCGTATAGCCCAAGCCTGGCTCCTAGTTAATTAAACCTGTTCCCAAAACTAAAGGAACACTTGAAGGGCCAGCGCTTCATCCGTTAATTTTCGATTTAAGTGGAGGCAAAATTTATCAGCCCCCCTCGTAATAAGTACATACATTACGAAGGGCAAAGTAGTAATAATAGAGAACATGGTAGAAGTATTCATAAGGTTACTTTTCTATTATACTCTGTACTATGGACACTTTGTACATATTATGTTTATGGTCAATTGTGGGATATTTGTTATGGTTAACAAAGAAGTTGTTTGGTAAATTTCCAAATTATTAAAATGTACAAACTTTATAAAATGAAAAGTTGAACTAATTCACCAACCCATCCCTCCTCCTTGCTGCACTTAGCTCCTGGATGACAACCTCCCACTGCCCATGCTGACCAATGTAACTTCAAAACTTCACTACAAAGCCCCAGGGGCTGTGTAGCATTATAATACTAGTAATAGAGGTCATGTGGCTGCGCTGACCAATGGGAATTTTTTGTTTCTAGTGGGACACCATCCAAAAAGAAAGAAGACATTGCCATTGGCCAGTGTTATCACGTGACTGCGCTGACCAATGACCATACACCATTGTCAGCATTGAGATGCTATACAGCCTACCGAGCTATGTTTTGAAGTATGCAGCCCATTACATCGGCTAGTGTGGATGGTGGGGTGTTGTGAATTAGTCTACCTTTTGATTTTTTTGTAAAAAGGTGATCTAACCCTTTAAAAGTAGACTATTTCCCATTTATAAATAAGATGTATTTTGGAAAATAAAGTGCAATCTGCTGATCTTTCTCAATTTTCAAACTCTGTAAATTCTGTAAATGCATTCGACTTTAATAACTGGATGCTGCTGTAATAGCATTTTCCATACTTTTCCCAAAGTACCATTGACAGTACACATACATGGCCCATTTTTTTAGATTGCATATCCTGTATAGTTTTAGATCTTATGCTTTGATAACTGGTCAGTGTAAGGGTGGCTGCAACTTTCAAGGGTATCAAATATTTAGAGAGCAGAGAGCTTTGTCAATGTTGTCATACAAGGACTGCAATTTTTTTGCATCCTTGCAGTATATGAAGGTTTAAACCTATCTCCAGAGGGAAAACAATCCCCTGGCAGTGGGGCTACCTTGTCCTGCCAGGGTTAACTGCTCATTAATGTCTAGGGTAGCTTTGTGGACTTTTACTTACCTGATTCCTATTTGCCCTTATCTCTTCTCCGGCTTGTAAACTGTCTCTCAGCATCCTCGTATATAATGCAATTCTAATGAATGCCAGCGCACCTAGTGTATGGTACTGCATGCTAGGTGTGCTGTGCTAAACACTCGGTAGTGCGAACCGACCCCACAATACTATAGTGTGAACAGGCCCTTACACAGCTCCCCTTGACATTAACAAGTAGTTAACTCCACTGCAAGGAAAATTTTTTTTCCTGAAGACAGACTTTAAACTTCATTTTCTGAGTGGGTCTCTTTCTCTTTGTTTATGATAAATGAATGAGCATTTCAAGTGCTCCCAGGTTATGTGCACCTCAGTAAAGATCAGGCATACGTGATTTTTTCTAACAGCCATTATGGTTCTAAAAAACTAGGAAAAGTTACTTTGGCAGAAAATCATAAACATTAGATAACCTGAATCTTTTCTTTAGGAGAATTGGAGGTAGTGGGGTTTTGCAACTGAAATACTGTAAGTAGTTTGCTGTCTGAAAGCTATTCACTCCGGATCTTGGTTGTGTTTTTAGCTCAGGGAGAGGAATCTGTGCCATAATTTTCAGCTAAAGGAAATCACATCATTGGAAAGCATTTATCTGGCATTGTTATCAGACTGCTAAGTACCCATTAGTCTTTGGATTCTGTTGTATTAAATACTTATAACAATTTATTTTAAAAAGGTTTTGATCATAATCATTGCTTATAGTGTTAATAGCATAGAGATACCTACTAAGGATTCATTTACTTTGATGCAGAGAATACAGGCAGATCTCACAACATGGACTGCTGACTGCAGACCTTATACATGAGCAGTCCTGCTGTGAAGCTGGATAGTGGATTTCATTCATTGCGCCCATTATACTAATTATCGGCCACAGTGACCACACAGATGGACCATGAAAATAGAATGGGGGTGTGAACCTGTTCAAAGGCAGCTCTATAAAAATAGATG